AGACCTAGGGGTGGGGCGACAATCGGGAGGGGGGAGCGACACCTCTGGCGGGGCAGGGGGAGGAGAAGAGGGAAAGAATTTTCTATAGTTTTAACACTGCCACCTATGCCGCTGGAGGAGAGGGAGAAAGACGAAAGACCCATCGCCCCCTCTCTTCTTGGATCCACCTATGGATATATATATATGTATATGTATATACGTTTATAAAATACAACAATATATTTAAAAAAATAATCGAAGGAACAGGAGTGTTTCGGTCCATTAAGCCATGTATATATTCCCTGCAGCACAACCGGACTTCATCACTACGACAATTGCAGTATTGATGCGTATATGAGGAGTATCTCAAAATAAATATTTTAAAATTTGTGTGACGGGGTAATTTCTTGAATAGTCGATAGCTATAAAAAAGAAATGAAAAAATAATGAATAAAATAACTGACTTAAATCATAACTTACATCTATACAGTGAAAAATGCATACTGACGAGATGTTGTTTATATGCGTCTGTTTGTTCGTCTGTATCGGTTTTTCATTTCGAGAGCTACAAAAGCTACAGGGCTGAAACTTCGGGAACTTAATCTACATGCATGTACAGGCTTCTAAGCCCGAAAGTACCGCTCTTACCTGCGTGGTACCCATGTACGGGCCTGTGAAAGTTTTTGCGGGTGAGTTGCTAACTCGGGGACCTGAAAAGCTAGAAGTGTGAAATTTAAAGCTAGAAGTGTGAAATTTCCTGACAGTCCTAGTGACAGTCTTAGTTCTCTTAGTTAAAAGCATCTGTCGAGATAACGGCGTCAGTAGCGACAAAAACCTGCGGGGAACTATGCAAAAAACGCATCTTCACTCTGGCAGTCGGTGCGCTAACCAATTAATTACATTGTATTACAGCATTCCCGGTCACAAACTACATTCGGAACAAGCTGAATCTGCCGCGAAATTGTTTCATCATTCAGCACTGTTACATCAGTGCAAAGGAATTACCGCCAACCGAATTCTATGGATATGGATTTGGTCTGACGGTTCAAAAAGCCGTTTGTGCGGCATCCAAGGAATTCGTCGAACGCATGTTTTTCAGCGGCTTAATTACCCCAAAGCTATTTGCTTACATTGGTGTGTTTTTTTTCTTGTGGTTTTTGTTTTCACATACAGCTTCTAGCTCGGAAAAAACACTATTCGCAGTACAAATTCAGACATTACGCTGAAAATCTTGAGTTAGGT